GACACACTCTGCACGATGCCCATGACGGGCTTGTTGGACTGCGGGCTGACGATGTTCCTCGGCACCATCATCAGCTCCTGAGCCTCCGCTTTCGCCACAAGGCTCTGCAATAAAAACAAAAACACGAACACAAACACAAGAGGGCATCGGGAGTAACAAAAATAACTGTTGAAAACCAAAATACGCCAGTCACTAGCATGCAGAGGCAACAACGCGATACAGCAGGTACTGTATTGTAGCGAGAGATACTTCATGCAAGCGGGGCACGCAGCTCCCTAGGGTTTTACAGCACAGCTCAAAACAACGTGGCACACGGCACACACACACACACGATTCCAGCGCGGGCCGGGCAGGAGGGGTGGGCGGGGGGTCGAAGCGAGCGCATGTGCCGGAGGTAACCAGCATGAAGCAAGAGCTCGCACACCAACAACAACGACAGCAACACGGAGAAACAGCAGCAGCAGCAGCACCACCACCACCACCATCAGCAGCGCGGACACCACTGACAAACGCCACAGCAACAGCAGCACCGCTGCCCCAATAGGCAACAAACACGCCGCATGTCGCTCACCTGAGGCACGTGGAGGTTCATCTCATCGCCGTCGAAGTCGGCGTTGTACGGCGACGTCACGGAGAGGTTCATCCGGAACGTCGACCAGTCCAGCACCTTCACCCGGTGGCCCATGATGGACATCTTGTGGAGCGACGGCTGCCGGTTGAAGATGATGATGTCGTCGTCTCTCAGGTGCCGCTCCACCGCGTAGCCGTACTGAAGCGTCAGGCTGTTCTTGTTGCGGACGAACCGAAGGTCTACTCGCACGCCGTCGTGCCGCACGATGTACCTGTATGATTTTGTATTTTTGCGCCGCAGGGGAAAACGCCAACAGCAAAAACCAATGCCGGCAGCTACAGCGTGTCAAGCCGATCAAACAACTCCACACCGCAAGGGCGTCAGAAAACAACGAGAGTGCTGTCCATCTCCCCTACGGCCATGATCTTGAGGACATAAAATCTCAATTGGCGACAACAACAACAACGACGACGACGACGACGACGACGACGAAAGCATCATCCACAGCAACAAGCTACCAACAGCACAGCACCACCACCACCATCAATAACAGCAGCAACGACAGCAGCAACAACCACCCGAACAGCAACAAAAAATAACATGGGCCCAAAACGCCCAACGGTGACGACGGCAAAGCACCCACCAACCACAGCAAACCACCATCAACAACAGCAGCAACGACAACAACAACAACAGCAACAACAACAGCAACAACAACAGCAACGAAGACCATCGCACCACCACCAGCACAACAATCGCACCGGCAGCAACGACAACAACCAAAGACGGGCCCGAAAACACACACACACAGTGACGACAACAAACGACAAAGATAGGAGGCCCGAAACGCCGCCGCACCTTGCGCCAGGGTGCTCGAGAGGACCTCTCGCCACAAGCTGCGCCATCTCCTCCACGTTGAACGCTGTCACTAGCTCCGGCACCGTCAGGTTCAGAGCGATCGACTTCGGCACGCCCACCTGGCGGTCAAGGGAAGGGGGGGCAGGTTCACGTTTTAAACGGCTTCGCTTCTTCCGGCACCCGGGTCACAAAACACGGTGGGGCAGCGGGACGGCGGGGACGAGGCGTGCGCAAGAGTACCGTACCGCGTGCAGAGACTACAGCAGTGCCGCACTCGAGTCGAGTTTGACAAGAGATACGGAGAACAAGACAAGCAAGGCGTAAGACAAAACAAAAGACTCTCCGTGCGCCCCCGGCAGGTGAGTCCTGTCATGCATATCGAACGATGCAAAGCCGGAGTCTGGCATCGACGGGATGGCAGCACACGCAAACACCACCGATTATACCCTTGTTCATCTCCTACTATTGCTACGGGGTCGGCAAAAAGCAAAAGCGTGGTTGAATACCAGGCCAGCTGACCCCGCAAAAAGGGTGGACGGCTGTGGTCTAGTATGTAAGCCACTGCTCGTCGCACTCCTTCCGACAACAACAGTGTGAGGGCTTTCGCCGTTGACGACTTCTCACCGCCGTGCCAGACGCACATCACGCACAGCAAACATACAGAGACAGACGCTTCGATTCCCACTTTGCCGTTACGCATGAAACACACAGCGAACACAGACGATTTTTCTTTTCTCGCTTTGCCGATACGCATCAAACACGCACCGACACACGAAAGATATCTAGACGTTTTTTCTTTTCTCGCTTTGCCGATACGCACCACACACACACATCGAACATACAGAGATCTGGATGTTTCCTTTTCTCGCTTTGCCGACATGATCACACACGCACCGAACATACAGAGATCTAGACGCGTTGTTTCTCCTCATCACCACCGTGCCAAACACGCACCAATCACACACACGCAACATACACACACCACTCCTTTCTTCTTCTTTTTCCCAAACTCACCTGATCAATACCCAGGTTAGGGTCCGCCGTGATCACGGTCCGGGCGGAGAAGTCCACACGCTTGCCCATGAGGTTCCCCCGGATCCTCCCCTCCTTGCCCTTTAGCCTCGCGCGGAGGGTCTTGAGCGGCTTCCCCGACCGCTGCGTCTCCTGCGGCTGCCCCGCGCGCTCGTTGTCGAACAAGGCGGCCACCTGATTGGACGACGGCGACAAAAGTACGACACCCCAAGAACTCGTTGGGTTGCACGTTTGCGGTCAAGCGTTTCGGACGACCGTGTGGGTGTGCTGGAGAGCAGGAACGCAAGGCTCTCGACACCAAACCATCTCTCGAATTCTCGAACGAAAAAAATATATTCTCCAGAATCTCCATGCGGTAATGTTTACGGACAACATCATCTACGGCGTGGAAAGCTCAACGTCCCCAGGGTGCCGCCAGACGGCTGACTGTGATATGAATTGTACGACTGGGGATGATATCACTCGACAGCAGCGGCGGCGGTCGCGTTTTACCTTGTACTGAAGCAGCTGCTCGAAGCTCTCGACGATGTGCGCAGGCTCCCCCGTCCTGACGCACGCCTCTAGCCTCATGTTCGCCTTGCAGATGTTCACCTGTCCAAGACGCGCAGACCGAAAATCATGTGCATGCATCGCGCACACATCAGACACAAACAACGCGGCTATGGTCTTCTCCTTACAGAAAACAAACGGACAAACAAAACAATGATGTGCAAGTACAACGGTATCGTTTCGACACTTGACATCCGTCATCACAGGGTTTCCCGTGCCCTCCTTCACGGCATTCCACGAACATGCGGAAAACCGGCTTCCCTCCAGTGGTTCCACGGAAACAGAGACATGGACCCCACTATTGCTGCCCTGCTCACCAGCTGGTGAGTGAGGTCATCCTCGCTACGCGCCCCCGCGTCTAGCGCCACGGACGGGCGCACGTGCGGCGGTGGCACCGGCAGGACTGTGATGACCAGCCAATCCGGCCTCGAGTACTGGGGGTTCAGCCCGAGGGTGACCATGTCCTCCTCGCTGATGTTCTTAAAAATATCGTGCACCTTGAAGTGGGGAGGGGGGGGGGGGGGGGGGGGGGGTTTT